CCCTTACCTATCCCTGATAAAGTTTGGTCTGCAATATTGATGGACTTTATTGAGGGGTTGCCTACTTCTTTTGGGAAGGATGTTATTTTTGTGGTAGTTGATTGTTTAAGCAAAGCTGTCAACTTTATGGCTTTACGGCATCCATATACAACCCTGCATGTAGCTCAACTTTATCTTAATGAGGTCTTTAAGCTCCATCTGTTGCCGGTTACCGTTGTCTCTGATAGGGATCTGGTGTTCCTCTCTGAAGTTTGAACTGAGCTGTTTAAATTGCAAGGTGTTGAATTACTCCATTCCTCGACGTATCATCCTCAAACGGACGGCCAAATGGAAGTTGTCAATCGCTATCTCAAAACATATCTTCGTTGTATGTGTCATGATCAGCCTGCTTCATGGAGTAAATGACTTCCTCTTGCTGAGTGATGGTATAATACCACCTTCCATACCTCTGCTGGTACGACTCCATATGAGATCTTATGCGGGCAGCCCCCTCCTCTTCACCTGCCTTATTTGCCAGGGGAGTCAAAAAGTGTTGAGGTTGACCGCAGTCTCCTCCAGCGAGAGAACATGATGAAATCTCTTAAATTTCATCTGTAGAGAGCTCAAAATAGGATGGCACAGTTGGCAAACCGACACCGGAGTAAAAGGAGCTTCAATATTGTGGATATGGTATTCCTTAAGTTGCAACCATATCGCCAAAGCACTGTTGCTAATCGCTCGAATCATAAACTCAGTCCCAAGTACTATGGCCCCTATAAAATCCTTGACAAGATAAGTGTTGTTGCCTACAAGCTCGAATTGCCTACTGGAGCTCAGATTCATAATGTGTTTCATGTATCCCAGCTGAAGAAGGATTATTCGGCTATTGTTGCTTTCGATTTGTCTCCTTTCAGGGTTCCTTCTAATGCCCCAAGAGTCCCTGAAGCTATTCTTGATCGTCAGATGGTCAAGCGGGGGAAGGGGCTGCTGCAAAGTTCCTGGTTAAATGGCAGAATTGCCCTCTTGAAGCTGCCACTTGGGAGTTCTATTATGACCTCTGCAAGAAGTGTCCTGGTTTTGACCTTTGAGGACAAAGGTTMTTAAGGGGGAGGATTTGATGCAGCATAGAAAGTGGCTAGCAGTTAGTTGAGCTGGTAGTTATGTTTGTTATATTAGTTGGGATGTTAGACAGTTATATTAGTTGGCATGAGTTGAGTTGGCAGTTATGTTTGTTATATTAGTCGGGATGTTAGACAGTTATGTTTGTTATATTAGTTGGCATGAGTTGAGTTGTTGGACGAGCTGTTATAAATCTCTTGTACTGAGTTGAATAGAGACAGAATTATACATCTACATTCTCTCATTCCCTTCTTTCTTTCTTGGCTTCTTTCCTTCATTATCTCTGTTCGTGTGGTTTTCTTGTGATAACCATACCTACAGGATAATCCAGCAGTTCTCGGAGTGCTTCACAACCTGAGCTGCATCACATATGCAGGGATTTCATCCATCRGCCTCTAGTTGGTACCCCAATCWTTTGTGAAGCCCTAAATAGAAGAGACATATTGGATTGTTGAAGCATAAACACGGCAGTAGGTCAAGCCAAATTCAAACGTAGGT